AACCTCACTCTTACCATCAATGCTCATATTTCCTTTTTATAGAATGCATTTTTGCTTTTCATACAAATTATCTTTCTTCAGCAGGTGTGCAAGGCGAGCTATTTTGAACTTGTTTATTCATGGTAACTGAACACACTCAGAATTTCTCAGACTCATGTCTAGACTGAAAAATTAGAGCATATACAGAGACATGAGTAGTCAGTGGCATTTAGGAAAGAGATCCGTGCTGTGCAATCAAAGTTCATTTTACACACCGAGCAAAGTCAGTGGCAGTCTTGTCACCCTTTGGTAAGGAACACATTTATCCTCAAGTGGTTTTGTTTTGTCCTGTCTCTAAAGACTTCATCCTCAAATGAAGGTTGTCAAATGATCCAATCAATTTGATTTTGAGTTAATGCTCTTTAGAAATTGAAGATGGTTTTTTTTTTTTTGTTTTTTTTGAAAACAAAATCATTCCTACTGAAGTTATGATGACAAGAGAAATCAATTACAGTAACATTAAGTTTCTGCCTGTTACGAAGTTTTCTAAAAATGTAAGATAAATGTTTTGGGTTATCAGATTGTGATGTTAAGGCGGAACAATACTACAGCATTGGTGATGTAGCACTGCAGTATTATTCAAATCTATGTAATATTTTTAGTATTAAGCAACATTCATTATCTTCCACTCTCTCATACGCAGCTATTATTGTGAAACAAATGAACCAGGATATAAGATATGGATAGTGTTATTGATAAACTTTAAAGGATTGATTTAAATAATAAAGTTTGTTTACATATGCTAATGCAAAAGAAGGCACATAAGCATTAAAAAATAGCATTGATTTGTATAACAGCTAATTGGGAATTCATTTTGAACTGAGAAGATATGTAAATTTCAATGATGAAAAATATTTGCATAGCTGTATGATGTGATATGCTATTTGAACACGAATTATCTATGGTGCAATGATACAGTAAAAACTTTTGTAAAATACTATATCAGTAAAATGAAAAAAAGTTCTGAAGGCTTTATTAAAGCATTTGTAGCTGGATCAGTTACATCCATGAAAATCACAGGGACACTCAAAAACTAACTACCATCTTACTTGAATGTACATTCCTCAAGCATAGCTGCCATATTTAAAATAAAAACCCTTCACCCTCATATCTTGGAATCATAATAAAAAAAAGATTTCTGCTCCAGGAAAAAAATGACAATACAGCACAAAACAGGCTTAAAGGTATAGTGGAGGATGTTCTTTTTCCGGGTAGATCATCAAAATAAGTGGTCCCCCTAATTGTTAATCATTCTAGTGATATGCAAAAAGTAAAACTGAATACTTCCTTCTCCTTTGCCTATAAATTTATTCAATAATGTGCCGTTTACAGAAATATTTTTTGTCCTCCAAACAATTCATACATGACTTCACCTCATAAATGTGGTTAGACTTGGTCTCTAAATGCCAAACAGTGAACTTTTTTAGTGGTAAAGTAATTTATGATGTCTTTAAAGTCTAATTTCTTGGCAAGCTGATGTTCTATACACTGCATTGCCAGACCATTGAACGTTTCCTGGGACAATCCTAGAGCCCAGGTAGTTTTTTTTATGATTTTCATTTTACTGAAGGCCTGCTCACCTCCAGCCAGTCACAGGTAGAGATAGGAAAATACATAGCAGGTTCTTCCATTTCCAATAACAATGTTTGTGTGCACAGTTTCTTTCATGCCCTGGAAATCTTTCATAGCTTCCTTTTTTTATGTTGGATAGTTTCATCCCATCTATTGAATTTAGTGCACTAGTTGATCTTTTCTCTACTTCATAATGGAACAGCAAGCTCGGCAGGCAAAATATGGTCCTTTTTTGACCTGCTGTATATTAGCCAGTCCCTAACATTTTTTTCCCCTTCTATTGTGGGAGGTAGAATAGGTTAGGTATTTGGACCTCTGCCATCTTTCTACACTTTTGGTGCTAAGCTCAAGTATTTCTGTAAAAGAAAATGTGTTCTCTCCCTTACACTAGCAAGCGGATGCTATACTGTACTTTAAAATCACAATGATAAACGCATTGCTTCTTACTTGGGCATCATTTTTCTACAACTACTGTACGTTCCTGGACCTGTTCCTGAATTATCCTCAGTTTATTTTTAATATTTACTCAAAATCCCTCAAGCCTTTGGTATCATCCTCCCTTTTTCTCTTTTTTTGTCTGTGGACACTGACATGTCCAAATGTTGAGATTTTAGAGATGTTATGACAACATTTATACAAGATTAGCAGTTTATTCTAGTTCAGACATCTTCAAATTCCATGCACTGGGTCATTGCTGTGAGGGTCGAATGTAACATCTCCTCTTGCTGCAGTTGGGCTCCTTCCTACTTTTCTGCTCCTGCCTGCTGCTCTCCTTCAGGGAGCAAAGCATCCACAATTTGTTCATCTCTCCCTCATGTAGTAGATAAATCTGAGTCTAAGAGGCGGTGGCTTCGGAAGTATTTGAAATGTAGGGGGACACATTGGCTCGGGGGGGGGGGACGCTAAAGTGAGGTTTACCAGCCATATGCATCTTTTATTTCTGTCCCATGTGCCTCAAAGTGTCTTTATTGGGCTGTTGACCTTAACATGAGTTCATAGGAATCAGTACAAGTAGACAATAACTACTTCCAAAAAGTGTAATCTATTACTACTAAAAAGAAATGTCCACCACCCTATAGTCTTTTCACAGCGTTCATTGTGCGCCTATGTGTTTCAGTGAGTAAAAAACTCAAGGATTAAAATGGAAAGAATGGAGATGAGAAGTGATGGATCTGAGAGGAAATTAATAGAAGGCTTATTTTCTTCTGATTGTTGTCTAGTTTACTAGCATGACTAAAAATATGAGGAATTATGATAACATTTTAATGATCAAATACAGAAAATTCTTTCGTTTTTCACTCATTTTGTATCTAATTATCTAGAAAAGGCAACTTGAAGCTTGTTATTTAGATATTTAAAAATAGAATGCATACCCTACTTTAAATGTTAAAATTTCAAGTCTTCTTTAAATTAAGAGTGACTGACTGAGTCCCCTCCTTTTACAAAAGTGTAAAACCTAATTTCACTGTAGAACATCAACTAAAATTATGTTACTGACGTTTTAGCAGATTTATCAAGGAGTTCAGTTGTTTATCTGACTTGTAGCTGAAATGTTTTGAGACAGGCCAAACTTATTGCAGGTATTCACTGTACATCCTTTGTCATTTCATCCCCACCATCACTTATCAGTTACAGCTGATTGCATCTCTCTCCTGGCAGAAGTCCACTCCTGATTAACCCATAATATCACAGGATAGATTGTGACAAGTCCCTCTCCTGCTTTTTTCTTTATTTTTCTTTTTTTTTTGTCGCACTGTCGGCTGTTCTAAACAGCAGGTTGCATGTCGATGACATTTTATTTGTCATTTAGCATCATCAAACATTACAGTCAAAAACTCACTATTCAATATCGTATTGATCAATCTATGGGTAATCATTGAGGTAGTTTCTTATTTGCTAAATGTTTTCTGTGACCCGTGAAACACCATTTGTTTAATGTTATTTGCTTTCAGGCTTTATCAAAGCCTACATTTCTTAAAATTAAAATAGGAAACATGTTTTCTTTTTGTATGAATTTATTAAAAAAAAAAACACAGATGCCTACTGAGAAAAATATATACTATAATTTTTTTCTTAAAAGGCAGGGTATCAAAAAAATGTGTAACTAAGGCATGCTCCAAGGGACATACATTCACTGTTCTGCCAATTAATTGTGTATCCAGTACACAATGTCATTGCATTTCTGGGCCATCGTTTATTATTCACTGTGAAACCGAATGAAGCTACACTGATTGCAGTTAAGATCTCAGCTAACTTGTTATTGACATTTACATGCTGCTATTTTAAAGGGCAACTTAACTGCATTAACCCACCAGCCCTGAACTTTCCTCATAGACTCTTTGAATGGATTCTTAGGCACCTTTTTCCCTTTTTTATTAGCTATTTGTTCACATTGTGTTTGTTTTCAGTTGTGTTTAGTGTTTGCATAGTTAGATACAATAATACTTGAATAGGGATTGTTAGCTAATAAAGGTTCTGATATTTTAATCTGTGGTCTTTTGTGGTTATTTATCCAGTGAACAATTTATTACTGGGAGCCAGTTACACCCTCCTTTGGTTAACATTTGAAGAAACAGACATTTTCTTTGGTTGGTGATTAATAACTCTGCTGATAGCCAAAGTCTACATTACTAAATTGGTGAAAGGAACTTTCAGTTTGAGTTATTTAATATATTCATAATATGCTGGTAAAATTAAACAAGACTGACAAGTCAAGAATATATGGAACTTGTGACCCAGTTCAAAATGTTTTTGCCAGATTTTAAACAAATGGTCAAATATCTGATTAGGCTAAATGTTGAAGTTATATTTCAAAACAAGGATATTTTGTAAAATTTAAGGATTTAGAGGCAACCTATAGTTAAGCTGCCAACTGTTTTTTAACTTCTATGAAACATTTTGATTTTATTTTTTTCCAGGAGCTAAATGACCTCACTGTTTAAATTAAATTTTTATTTAATTCTAAGTTGACTGACTTAAAAAGAGGCATAGAATAGACAACTCATACTTTTGATGTAATAAGTGTTTTTGAATCCTGACCAAAGGGAAGGCATCTTCACTTCTCTTAGTAGAAATGGCTGATCATCAAAGGTGGGGTTTTATACACAATCCAAAGGCATCTTGTGAGAGTGAGGTTATGCAGGCTATCGAGCCATACCTGCTAAAATTGCCAGACTCACCTCCATACTTAGCCTGTGCTCTCCAAGTGTACAAATGAACATCCTTATGCTTGAGCATGGTCATACTTATGGACAATCCATGAGATGAAGATGAAACACTAGTCTGGTTCAGAACCAGGGGTTTATTCTTCCAAATCAAGCAAGCCCCTGAACAAGCCACCCCACCCACCCTCAGGTGGGTGGTGGCTGCCATTTGGGCTATAGGCCAAAATGACAGTCAGAGACCTCCCCACTGAGCTGTTGATGACCTCAGCTGATGAGACATCTGAGCTGTGGGAGACAGACAGAGCCAATCCAGTCCTCAGCCTCTTCTCGTGGGTCACTCCAGAGCCAAAGCAGATTCCAGGCTCTCTTAATTTGCTGGGTTCCAGAGCATGGCACCAGGTTGATGTTTGACTTTGTAGTCATATCTCCTGACCATTGGCTGCATGTCTTAGACACTTGGGTGATGAAGCTGTCCACCAACACCAAGTGGTGCTAAGCTGGATTTGCTGGAGGTGGAGGAAATAGGACAGACTCGGCAGACCCATTTGAGCAGTGAGTGTCTCCTCAGAACGATTGGTGGAGCCCTTGGTCAAGGAGATAATGAACTCCCACCTCCAGGAGAGCTTCTACCTAATTCCGAGGTAGGCTGGGGACATAGAGTCAGAGTGGAACATGTTCTCTCCATCTACTGTTGATGCGGCTGTTCATAGCTGTGGCCAGAAGGCCTGCAGTGCCTGTCACAGTGGCAACCTCTAAACACAGTGGTGAATACTGGCAGTAAGGCCTGCTGTAAAGCTGAGGGAGGAATCCTATCAAGCCTGGTTGGCTTGTGGACTTGACTGAAACAGCAAGCAGGTATTGTGAAGCCCAGCTTATTACAGCGCTGCACGTCCCTGTCCTAGAGCTGCTTCCTTCTCATGTCAGTAGGCAGTAACCCAGTAGAGTTGTTTCAGCAACTCTACTGGGTAGATAGGGATCATCTTTTCCTTTAATGAACAGAAAACTGTATATGTGCTAGTTCTAGAATCAAAAAAGACTGAGGAGCAACATTTGTTTGAAGGAGATAAAACAGACTCTTTTATCTTCTTCCGACAAATGTTGGTAAGCTGTGTATAACTTGGAGCATGCTTTACTTATTAAGGAAGCTTAGGTCCTTTAGTGTCTGCAGCAAGATACTGCTTAACTTTTATACGTTTGTTGTGGACCATGGGATATCTTCTGTCATCATCTGTTGGCGTAGCAGCATCAGAGAAAAGAGCCTTAAGATCAACAAGTTAATAAAGAAGGCTAACTCTAGTTTGGGAACTCTAGAACTGAGCAACCTGGTAGCGAGACTATAGACAAAATGGTCTTTTGTCTTCAAAGTTGTACTGCAAGACTGACTGCTACAGGGGACTTACTGCCTACATCTATTAACATTGACAATAACTTGTTAAACAAAAGCCATATGTTACAACAGCTATTGAAATTACCTTCTAGATTAATAAATTGTTTTTTTTATTAAATTGGTATATTACATTTTTGTGTTTTTATGTTTTTCGTATTACAATTTTATCAAAATGCATCGTTTTTTTCCTTTGGCACATTTGCTCATTGAGGAATATTAAAAAGTATTTTTTTAGATTAAATAATAATTTAAATGTATGAATTAATTGATTACTAAGATAATCAATAGTTACATAACTAATACTTCTCCAATTTATTAAAAAAACCTGGAAAAAAATGATTTCCATTAAACTTTTCATGTCAAGGTTTATTTAAACTTGTTTCCAAATGCACTAAGCCTTTTGTTTATCTATCATCTATAAAGTTTCCTGTTTTATGCATTGAAATAATTGTCCTCTCCTTTTCTGCTCTTTTTCCATCTCGTTAGATCCAGACTTTGCTGACTTGGGAGTGCCTCCACCTCTGCCCTGTAGGTATACTCCTCAAGCTGTGCTTCATATTATATTAGTTTTGTTTTCTGATTTTTTATTTTTTTTTTTTTTTTCTTTTTTGCTTACTTCTGATTGCATTTTCTTCTCCTAAGCCCTCTGTTATTTCTTGCTAAGGCATTTTATGTTTCTTTGTACATACTGGGTAACATTTATCTAATATTTGTATATGCATCTGTCATCATTGTTACTTACTATAAATGGGTAAATATAGTGGCTATTTCCATTTAGGCTTCATTCTCATCAGGATGTAATGGTATATGGTATATTGAGTTTCAATGAAAATTTCCTAATAACTTATTTCTTAGAATTTCTTAAGTTTTAATAAAATTTTACTGTCATATTATATCTATCCATCCTCCCCAGCTTCCATAAGGGTCAAAGTGGTGCCGGTGCCTATCTCTGGCTCTCAATGGGAAAAAAGGCAGGGTACAATCAGGACAGTAGCCAGTCTGTCGGAGGGCAACATAGAGACAAACATAATAGAGACAAAATAACATAAAACCCTGTATACACTATCCCACTGATGGACAGTTTAGAGACGCCAGTCAATAGTCCTGATTTGGACTATGGGAGGAAGCCAGAGTACCCACCCATGCATGGGGAAAAACATGCAAACCCCATGCAGAAAGACGTTGGAGTGGGAATCGAACCCAGAACCTTACTGCTGCAAGACAACAGTGCTACAAACTGCCGCACCATGCAGCCCTTTTTGGTTCCATTAATGTTAATGCGGGAGAAGTTTGAAAAATAATTATTCCATATAGGGAAGGATTACAGGTCAATTTCCAGGCAATTATTGTTGAGGACTAAAACTGACAAAATAATTAAATAAAAAAAGAAATATGTGCATTGTATATATTTTCTTTTTCCCTTTCTTAATACATAAACTTTTCATCTGGAAATTTATATATTTTAATTTTCCTTATACAAGCCTTTTTTGTTTTTACATTTCCTCATCTCATTTTCCTTACCCCTATGCATTTCTACCTCGTTTTTTACCTTTAGCGTATGCATTTCTGCCTCCTCTTTTTTAAGTACACCTTGAAAAAAAGAGATTAGGAACTGTCAAAAGAACAGTCTTATATAAGGAAAAGCAACAATAAAAAAAACATTTCTTGAAGTAATCATATATTTTAAATATTTTTATTTATTTTTTGATGAAAATGCATGTATTAAGAAACTAAATAACTAATTAAATACAGCTTGTATTTATATCATTAGGTATTCCACAAATTATGGACTAATCATAGAAACTAGAGTTATATTTGTGTTCATGTTGACATAACAGCTCACTGTGCTGGTGTAATTTGGCATTAACTTGCTGATGTAGCCAGACCAAAAGGTTTGAAAGTGTATTTTTGTGGAACTTGTGTAAATTGTATATTAAACCAGATTTACCCAACTGAAAGAGCAAGTCAATGCATTTATTTATTCTAAATTATACAAGAGAAATGCAGAAACAGTTAGGGCAGATGGTGAAAGATGCACATTTGGTCTTCATTTGGGCACCTCATTGTCATTGATTTAGCCATGAACTCCTGTTTATTCAGTGCACTCTAGTTTCACATGTATGATTATCTGTGTAAAAGCTTAAATGTGGTGGAAGTGGGTCCATCTTAGTCTTTACTGAAATGCTGTGGTGAGACCAGAAGTCAGCTTTAAAAAATTCTTCCCAGACTCACTTGACAAAATTTTCACAAGTAAAAATGGGTCAAAATTTCTTCACAATGATTATAAAATGATCAAACAAAAAATAACAATTTAAAGGTTTTGTTGATTATGAGCTTTGCCTACAGTAGCTTTTTCAATTATTTTTTTAATTGTATTCCTTGCTTATGCATATACCTGTGTTTCAGCCTGTCAGTATGATATGGTAGGTCCAGAGGGCATCGTTGAGTCACATCAGATCACCAGAGATGGGAAAGCTGGTGCCACTGAGGCTGTCGACTGTAAATGGTACATCCGTGCCCCACCCCGTTCCAAGGTCAGTGAGATCAATTCTTCCCTATCTTGTGCGTGATTTTTTTAAGTAACTTCAACTAATTCACTCTCTATAGAGACATCTGAGACGCATGTTGCATAGCTTCTTTTGCATAGATTTGTGGTACTCTGGGGTAAATAAAAAAGTCCACAGCTAGGGTCAGAGCGATAGTCAGGATAGAAGGGTTTATTTAAGGCCAGGACGTTTTTTTTTTTTTTTGAAGCAAAGGAGTGTTGCCATGAGGGAAAAAGTGTTGAAAGGATGTGGAATGTAAAAAGAAACTGAGGGAGATGATGACTTGGTAGACCAGATAGAGAGACTCACAAATTTACTGAAGAAATAATCTGTGAAGCCGTTTGACCCTTGAGCTGAGGCTTCCCATATTTGTTTTCTATGCCAGGGTTCAGGACGCAGCTCTGCATGCATAAAAAATACAGTTATTCATCTACACTTGTAAACATGCACAACATCACTCCAGCTGCTAATACACTGAGTGTAGACTTACTTTCTGATTTTCAGGAGGAACCTGTGCTGAATTAATGATGATTAAACGTCTCCTGAGTCTGTAGCATCAAACCGGAAAATGACACATTTTAGAAAGGCTGTGTCCTGGTTACACTGATCAGCCATAACGTTATAACCCCTAAGCTCGAAACTGCTCTTGAACATTGCAAAACACTGTCCTTGTCTGTGTCCCTACTGACTAGCTCTTCGTTGTAAAAAATGTTGGGTTTTTTTCTTAATAACATATTTTTTGTTGAACTCTATTGATCTCACATTGGATAAATTTAACTGTGCATTTAACCCATCCCATTGGGGAGCAGTGGGCTGCCATCATGGGGTCTTTGCTCAGAGAGCGAGAGTGGCAGTCTTTGGGAGTGGGGCTCAAACTCAGAACCTCGGGATTCCAAGCTCTATGCCCTTACCACTAGGTTGCCACTCCCCATTCATTTTTTTTTATTTTCTTGCTTTTTAGATTACATTTAAATTGTGTTGCGTTTCTGGACATTAGCATTTTACTCTCGTAGTTTCCTTATTAATTTTGTCTTCAGTTGTTTTAGGCAGAATACCTAAAAATGTAACAAGTTTTAGTTATTTGTTATTTCTCACAAAAAGCAACTAAGTTAGTAACTCAGATACAGAAATATCAAAGTCAGCAAAGTAATTATAAAGTTACTTTTAATTATGTAATATTATTTATATAATAGTAATATTGATTAGTAGAATAAATAATTATCAACTATATATACAACAAAAAGTATAAAAATTCTGAAAACATTGTTATCTACATCATTTTGGTGTGTGAGGTCTATCAAGTGTGTCAAGAAATTTGCAGCAATATGATTACGTAAATGTAATTATTTTGTTTAATGTTTATAATAAAATAATTCCATTCCATTCGATTCAGTTTATTAATATAGTGTCAATTCATAACACTTCATCCCAAGCACTTTACAGAGAAAATTTAACCAGATCCTACCGTCAGATTTGTTCAACGTTTTTTATCTTAGGAAAATCAGCTGATTGCATTGACTCAAAGGCAATCCCTCACACTAAGCATGCTTGTAGCGACAGTGGAGAGGAAAACTCCCTTTTAACAGGAAGGAACCTCCAGCAGAACCAGGCTCAGTGTGAGTGGCCATCTGCTGAGGCCGACTGGGGTTCAAGAAGGCAGAAGCAGACACATAGAAAGAAGCAGAGACACAAAAGGCAACTGTCAATCAGTTCCACTGGTGATCCCGTCCAAGAAAGACACAGCCAGGCAGAAGAGTGCTCTGTTAGGATGGAGCTTGGCCATTTAAGAACAATAAACCAAATTAAATGTTTCAGAACTTGACATATTTAAATGTTCAAGTATCTATGAAATAAGTGTAATGCTGAAATATAGAATTCTTTTCAAGCAATTTAACAAAAATAAAATGTACTTTTCTATTCCAGTTTTTTTTAGAGTAACATTGTACTCCTTGTATTTTTTATTTTTTTTAATAATGCCAAACCATGCCAGAGAAATCAGTATAACACTGAAAAAGTAAATAGCAATATGTTTTGATAAACTAACTCATCCAGTTAAAAGTCAAATGTTCTTGATGGTGAGATGACTTTAAGTCTTTCTTTGCTGACATAGTGAGTTTTATTAAAGGAACATATAGTATATAACTTCACAGAACACTTCCAGTTTAGTAGGGCCAGGTATCACTGAATCTATGGGGCTCCCCGCTGTTGTCTCTCTTCTCATTTTGTGTGTGCAGCAATCAATACTTGCTGAACACCCACCCACAATACGCCCCACAGCCAATCAGTCTCACGCATACCTCTATCTCAGCTACCCTCCTCTGCCTCTACTGCAAAAACCTGAAAACAGTTCCCTCCTCACTGCAGAGAGACTGCGCTTGTGAAAATCCACTTTGACGGATTAAGTTGTAGTAACTCACTGCATTAGACTGAAGTAACATAGCGGGACTACCAATATGTGGGAGGCAATTAGTTGGATTACTTTTTGGAAAAAAAAAGACTAATGTTGTTATCGACGCTGCTACAATGTAACACAATTACTCAACACTGGTTCATTCAGAACACTGTTTCAAGAACTAAGCAGAGAAGAGGTTCGGAATATATTATATTTGATCTTTGGATGATCCTGCTGCCTTATTCTGACTGACCACCTTTTTTTCTTCTGCAACATTTTTCCCCAAAAGAAAAGAGTAATTTACATTGTTAAAAAGAATTAATGATTCTTAGCTGAAGTAATGTTTCATTTTGAATAGTTGAATGCCTCTCTCAAAAGAAAAGAGAGAAAAGCTTCCTGTTCTATTATGTACCAAGCTGTTCTGATGCATACACACAGCGTTTATGATATGGTTGGCTGATAATAATGGCTGTGATTCATAGTCGCAACAGCCATTGTTATCTGGCATCCTCTTCAGGGTTGGCCATTTCCCTTTAATGCCTTTGTTTCCCTCAGAAATGTCCTTCTGATTGAGCTGCTTTAAAAGTCAAGGCCAAAGCAGCTATAAGATTGAAGCATCAACCTTCAGACATTCTTTCTAAGTTATCTGAACCCATTTTGGGACCTATTATAAGTGGTCGTTAGAGAGAACGAAGGGAGGTTGAGGGATGCTGGGAACTGATCAATGTCATAGTTTTTATTTTTTGTTTTTTTATTTAGCATGGTTTCCTTGCCTTTTCTTGTATAGTGCAACATTTGCATGCATGCTAAAGAGTGTGAGTCAGCCTGTTTTAAAATATCCAAATGGGAGTAGTTAAAACTAAAATACTGTGACTGTTTAAAAGTGGTCTAGTTCACTCCGTTTTAAACAGATCAGAATTTCACTCTGATAAATTGCATCCCAGAGCAAGTCGAGGGCAAAAATCTCCACCAACTCCTACATATGCATTTTTGGTTTTGCATTTTTCAATCTTTACATGTCTTCAGACTTGCACTTGTCATTTTGTCATATATTATTATTTTTCTCTCAAAGTGTGCAGCCATTTATTGCTTTTACAGCAATACAATGCAGTAAAGGAAGCAGATGCTATCTCCCTTGTTTTATGTGTTCATACATGTTGCTGTGTCGTAATCTGATCAAATAGCTCATTCCCCTTATGCTCTCACAGCACTATACTGTTGCCAGAATGCCACAGAAACGGTAGAGAGATACAGACATCCTATGCCCAAGGCTCTAATTAGACTACACTGGAGGACTCCAGAGAGAAAGCAGGAAAAACGGGGTGCAAAAAGGAGGGCGGTTGCTTAATAATGCATTTTATCTAAGGTCTTAATGTATAAGGGATGGAGATTAAGGGTGGATGGCAGATGGCAAGAGAGAAAGAGGAAAAAGAGGTGAGAGAGAAAGAGAGAGACGGGAAGGGTAGGCACACCTGCAGGAAGCTGTAATGGCCATGTGTTGTTGCCAGAAGTGACAGCAATGCAGCACTTTTAATGATGATGTTAGAACTTTACACCAGCATGTGTCATCTGAACATCAACATTTTCTATAAAGAGAATGTGTAACAACCATGAGGGAAAAAAAACAAAGCAAAATTGGTGATTTAAATGTCAAATTCAAAAACACATCTGTTGAATGTGTTTTTTCCACATAAATTTGTTCCTTTTGTTATTTCCTTGAAGACAGATGTCCAAACATTGCTGGAAGCTCTTGGGAGCTCAGAGAATATTTTCTCTATATAGCATGTTTTTCCTGTTACTTATTTTCTATCATAACTGTCTGGACTTTCTAAAACCTACTGTGTATCAGTTATGTGTACAATCAAAATATAGTCCATTATTCTGACTGCAATGAGCAGAATAATCTATTTTGGGCACAGAGGGAACATTGTCTTCCATTATTGAGAAGTGCTATCAAGAAAGCTTGAGTCCTTTTTTTTTCTTGGAGCAAATTATTTGGACTTTCAAATTATGATAACATTTTCCTCTTTTATCAAATTCAATCTGGCCTTGGCTTTTTTCAGTCATTTAGAGTTAATCGACGTAGCAATAGAAATTTGTGGACAGTATACAGTGTGTATATTGCCACGTCTTTATAATGCTTTCAGGGTGTTACATTAAAAACTTTTTTTTTTTCCAAAAACAAGTCTAGAGGCTGTGCTAGATATAAATTAGCTGTATTCAGCTTTACCCTGATGCAGATACGTGCAAAGCAGGGTTAGTTTAAAAGAAAAAAAAACAGACTTAGAACATCAAATGGAGCATTGTTAAATCCATCTTTAAAAAAGGAAAGAGTATAACACAAATGCAAACCTACTACTAGAAATAGCTATGCTTCTAAGCTGTGTTTCTAAAATTTCTAATTCACTTATGTATACTACATATATATATATATATATATATATATATATATATATATATATATATATATATATATATATATATATA